TTCGGCGCTGGTCATCGGTGATTTGGATCACGTCGAGTACGCCTTCCTCATCCCCGTTCTTTGAACGCTTCCGCGCGTGATCTACAAAGGTATGTAGATGCAATCCGATCACTCGTTGCTAGATGAACTCCTAGATGGATCTTGGTGAAACGAGTAGGAATTTTTTTTGTTTTCTGCAACGTTCCCCAACACAGATTACATCAACAAATATACAAGATTGTACAAACCCTCTTAATCATCAAGTTCATGCCTACACCTCGAACTTCCTTTTTGGCTCTGACCACCAAGTAAACCTGTAACAGACAATATGCTTCTGTTACAAAATGGCAAGTTGATTACAACAACATAAATAGTAGTTATTATCATCTGAACCATCATTTTTATTTCACATGGTTTGAACCTCACTCATGAGGCCTATATACTTAAGAGTTATGCCAGTATTGCTTGTCTTTCACTAATCAACAATATTGTTTCATTGCAGCAACACAACATCGACGACTAATCATGAGTAATCTAGTGCCAAATAGTTCAAATCATCCTGAAGGGCATAGGAGCTTACCCATGCCAAAGCGCTGAGGAGCTCCACCTTGTTGTGTAACTGTAGGTACCTTTGAAAAATTATCATCTCAAAGATCAGAGGGGTGTTGACAAATAATAAAGGAATAGGGGAACAAGATAAGTTATCGTTTCTGGAAAACTACTTGCAACAAAACTGTACTTCTTTTTACCATAGTGCACACCTTTTTTTTTCTAAACCATGATCATGAACTAACTTGGTGTCATTTTTCTTATGTAAACAAATACACCTATCTATGTGTCAAGAACAGCCAAGTGACCTCTTTTTTACTTATAAACTTGATCAAATTCAATTATTTCGGAATTGAGGAAGCATATTATAAATAATACCTATTAATGGTAGAGAAAATAAGAATAAATGAAATGTTCAAGGTGGAGACACTTTCAAAGTTACACAGCCAACGATGGTTCACATAACATTTCAAGGAAGTATATCTAAACTATTATAAAGTAGTTATGATTGACTATGTATTGTAGTGTGAGGTCCTAAAGAATTGGCACACCAAGTTCTTTTGTCTGCAGCATAGTTCTTCAACTATATTTAATTCTACCAGTGGACTGATTCAGTCGTTCAGTTGTAATCATCAACCTTCGTCACTGATCAAGTGGAGACCTGAGCCAGGAACAGTGCTTAAGATATCATAACAAGCATAATAATACTGCATTAATATATACACTTTACATTAGTAGAGAAATATGTCAGACAAGGAACACTGATTCCACAATACAGAAAGACAAAAAGGAGGCTACTGTAGAATGTAAAGCAACATCCAGTAATTCATAAAGTGGATAACTCGCTTTTCCTGATATATGAACAAGCATTCTGGAAGTGATTGAACTAGTAATACACTCCCTTTTATTAGGCAGTAAGAAGAGGTTCAATTCTCCATATCTGTTCGTTCTGGAAAGATACAAAAATGTACAGAACATACAGTTTTGCACATTGCCTTTTATTAGGAGCTAGAAGAGGTTCAATTCATCTCTTTTTGTTCTGAAAAGATACAAAAATGCACAACAAATACAATTTTGCACTCTGGAGTTTACTTTCACAGAATATAGCTAAAAAAAGTACACTCAAATAAAACTACAACCACATGATTGCAACAGTCATTTTAATCAAATCAGGGAAGCAACAAACAGTTTACTGACTATGAGCCTAACTTGCTACTAGACTATAAATTCTATAACAGAGGGATTAATGTTTGTAAATATTAAATCATCAATTCTTGAGAGGAAAGATACAAAATCAAGCTGAATCAAGGAGAAGAGGGAGGTAGAGGTCGCAGTGCTCACTGGAGACCTTTGTAAGCAATGCAATGGTCGCAGTGCAGGTCAGACGCCGTCTCGCGTGACAGAGGAGGTTGCCATGGGACGCGCCGCTGCGCCAGAGACGCGGAAGAGGGGGTCGGGGTCACCGCCGTCCAGCCCAACGCAGGCGAGCGCACTGAGCTAGGGGGAGGCGGAGGGGCGCGAGGGGGCGCGATGCACGATGAAGTGGTGCTGTTGGAGACGCGCCAGTGACAGACGCGCCGCCGTAGCTGAAACCCTAGACATTGGCTAGGGGTTGAGTGCGAGTGCAGGGGGCTGGGAGCGGCGGATCCAGCCGGGCTGGAGGGCGGAGGGGTCGGAGATGAGCTCGTGAGTGTGCTGCACGGTGGCGGACATCGCCGGAATCGGCGGATCTTGGTGGCGGCGCGATGATTCGCGGGAGAGGGAGAGATGGGTCGCACGAGAGATGGATTGGTGGGGGTTGCGGCGGATCTAGCAGCCGCTGTAGCAGCGAGGTGAGAGGAGGGGAAGGGCTGGCGACGAGCAGTGGGAGGAGGCGATGTGGTGGTGGGTGGCGGCGATGTGTGTGAGGAGATGGGGAATTGGGAGGGGGGCTGCGACGAAGGGAGAGACAGAGAGAGGAGAGGCACTTAGGGTTTGGGTTTTATACGTGAATGGTTAGGCGGGCTTTGGCGGGCTTTAGCGGGCTTGCGGGGCTATACCGGGCCATTCATGACAGATTTTGAAAACGTCATGCGAAATCCGTCATGGATCAACACATTTCTTGTAGTGCAACCCGCATGATGCCGACCCAACCACCAGGCCCTTCATGCCGCCACCGCCGATCCGAGGTCAGATGGTGTGTCGCCGCAGACCCGGCCGCCGAACGCCGCCACGCAGCCCGAGGCAGGGCCGACTGCCGCACCCCACCATCACCGCCCTTGGCCGAGGCAGCCGCCTCGCCGCCGCCGGAAGGCAGGCCCGCCGCGCCGCCAGGCCAGATCGGCCGTGCCACCCACGCCGCGGGGCTCCGCACCGCCCGCACGACGCAGGCAAGAGGGAAGACCCCCGCCACCGCCATCAACCCCGGGCTATAGCCGGCGGCTTCCTTCGGCGGCGGCGGAGGGAGGGGAGGACGGATGGGGACCCCCGGCGGCTAGGGTTTTGGATCCCGCCCGAGTCGCCCGAGCGGGGGCGACGCGTGGGCGGACTTTTCGAAACCGATACGGTGATAATAAGGACAAGCTCTCTAGCCTCCTATCCTGTTATGCGAATGCCATCCAAACCGGTTGAATATAGCCCGAGCGACCATCTCCCATTGGTTGCACCCAGTAACCAAAGGCTCCCTGGAGTCCATAGAAGTGAGTAAGGACCACGTACGGATCCAAGTTGTAGCTCTGAAGATAACCTGCAAAAAAGTTAACTTGTGTTGTCTGTTAAGTACGTGAGGTGCCACATAGGATTTAACAAATGTCAGGTGCCTACATATTTAGTCAAGCGAGACCAACCTGCACAAAAAATTGATCCCTCGGATGCTATTTATCTACGCCCATGTTTAATCGTTTCTTCCGTCACGTTGCTGATGTTATTACCATTGTGACGTCCATGGTCGAATTTCTCAAAATATTTTTGTTTCCTACAAGTGGAAACCAGGAATTTGACTGAATTTATCGGTATTGGTCAGTGTGATGTTGGCTTCTAACATTTCGGTATGGGCATTCGGTTTGTATGCCCTACCATGTACCAAGCCTCTTGTGGAAATAAATGGTGTGAGTAGTAGAAACATTAACATAATGCATTTTCTAGGATTAATTTGTGAAAAATTATGCATGACATAGATTTTCATGAACTGAAAATATGACTTCAATTCAGAGTTATACAATACACCGTGGATTTAATACACACACACACACACACACACTTAATTATACATTACTCTTACACGCTGAAAGACTCACACTCTGACTCGTAATGTAAGAGCGAGTCTTTATTTAGGCTATTTACATAAGTGGAGTAGTGACTGAGTGAAGACGATGGTATATAGTGGAAGAAATAAAGGATGGTCATAACTGACGACACGTACTAGTAACAAGCACCCACAAGTTCCTACGGGAGATGTGCATGTTATCAACATGCTCTTTAATTGTCAGATGCACGCTTAACCCATCGTCGACGACATCTTCAGATGCTTGGCAATACCCATGAAATCGGAGATCGCGGTTGCCTAGAACATGGCATAATGTTTTGATTTTCCAGAAAGACATGGGCAAAATTTTCACCTGCGTCCCTCTCACATCCATTGTCTGGAGCTTATTCAGTTTGCCGATGGTGTCTGGCACCGTTGTCAAGCTCGAGCACCGGACACTGAGGTACTGTAGGTGCAGCATGTCCCCGATTCGACTTGGCAGCTTCTCACCAATGTTGATGCCCTCTAGGCTGATGACGCGAAGGAATGTGGATTGCTTGAGCAACTGCCTCAAGCCTTCCTTGAACTCCTGTGGTCCTGCTGCATAGTGCCACAACAAATATCCGACATTAGCCCGGTAGCTCACTTAATAATATGTAAAGAAACGGTAGGTATTTCTTGACAAATGTGGCTCTAGTACCTTGTGCATCATTGGAGGTGGATTGCTTGAGCAGCTGGTTGGAGGCTTCCTTGAATTCTTGTGACCCTGCAAAGTGCCAGAAATATGATCTCCGATTAGCCCGTAATATGTAAAGAGGTGGTATTTCTTGAGAAATGTGGACAGCACGGTTGGCACCTTCGATGAGCTTGGCATCATGAGCTCCACTGGGCAGCTTGGCACCTCCCATAATGCCTTGTGCACCATGGGACAACACGGTTCTCACCTTCCAAAGCACCTTTGTTTTGTACGGCATTTTGTTGTTGTTGAGAGCTAGGCGCTTCGCGCTGACTGTGGCAGGGGCATACCCACCACCATAGTGCGTTTCCATGAGGCCAATGCGCTGCGCCTCGGACCTGAGAATCTCATAGACCTGGTCATGAATAGCTACTGATTCCACGACGTCTGCTTTCTTCTTCACCAGCTGCATAAGGCCACGGAAGATAAACTCCTTGAGGTAACGCTGGCCCAGCTCTTCTTCTTCCACCCCAGGCTGCTGAATTAGGAAGCCCTCCGCCGCCCAGAGGCGCACTAGTTGGCCAGCATCGATCGTGCTGCGCTCCGGGCCGGGAAGCCTGCCGTGTAGAGCAAGCACGACCTGTGTTCGTTGGGGAGGTCATCGATGCTCATGGACACTATGGTCATGAGCAGGTCGTCTTGGTTGTTCTCCTTGAGGTACGTCGATGCTGCCTCCCACTTGCTGTAGTCCATTGTCCTCATGAGCTTGGCAAGAAGAACCACCGCCAGTGGTAGTCCCTTGGTTATCTTTTCAATGTCTTTACGGATCGTATCCATCCTTTCTGTCTTGTAATTACTCATCCGGCGCCCCCGGAGGCCCAGGATCCTGTTGAACAACTTCTCGCTCGTATCTTTGGGTAGACAACGAAGCTCAACGATGTCATCAGCACAGGGACTGGACGTCGCTGTCAGCACAATCTTGCTACCTTCTCTGCCGGCCTTGAGCCAATTCTGTGCCTCGAGTATGGTGCTGCTCATTTGGCAATCTACCACAACCAAGTACTTCACTTGGTCTATATTCTTCCCGCTAGGTTGTAGCTTGGAGCACTCATCTTCCAGCTTTCTTTCTACTTGATCAGTGATGTTACTGGTGTCTTGTGGAAAGCTCACCCACATACGTACCTCAAAATTCTTCTTAATGGTTTCATTTTTGTATGCTTTCTCTGCCAGATACCTTTTCCCGATACCACTCTCTCCAACCACATAAATCACACGGCTTTCATTTGTGACAAGGAGGAGGTCATGCAATTCCTTTTCTTCGTCCTTGCGTATTGGCACAGCCTGTTGGTTCTCCTCCAAGTCTGTGTGGTCCCTGTTTCCGACTATTATTTATTAGCTGAAGCTAGTAAACAAAAATAATTTATTGCTGTATTTAAGCAACCGATATAATCCACGTCATCTAAATTATTTCGTACGTTAGAATTTTAATTCATTGTTGAGATGTGTGCTCAGAATATATATTTATGTATGCTATGACCTAAGATCATGCTCATAGTTAAGTATAAAAGCCTGCTTGAATAGAGTAGTTTTTAGTGGTAGTCTCTACTATTAAAGGCGGATCGAACGTCGTGATGGTTCAACCACCTCGTTCGATCCCCCCGCCTCGTTCGACCTCCCATCTTACGACCCCGCATGGAAAAAAACGCAGGGAACAACCCACGTTCGACAACAACTGAAAAAGAAAAAGAAAAAAGAAAACGGAAAGAACCCGCACGAGGCTCTCAGGTCTCGGCAGTGTGTGTAGGGTGCTCGCTAGAATTCCCCACTCGTGGAAGCAGGCGAAGTAGCGCACCTGCCACCTAACATGACTGCTCTGAGTATTGGTTAAGAAGATTTCCAACGCCAAATCTGGTATCACCTTGCCCCTTCTGCCCTTCATTTCTAATTTTGAAAACAATCGGAGATGTATGTTTCCTTATCGTCTGTTTGGTTGACTTCGTGTTAGCGTGGAGAGTTAAACTACTTTATATATGACTAAGTACTCACTTCCCTGTTGGATTTCAGCTTCACGGAATGGATTATTTGTATGACAGGGAGGTTACAACTTACAAGTGACGGACCATAATTTTGCATGGTGATTTACTTAGGCAAAGCTAGAATTTTTGTTTGGTTTACTGTTAACCGCTGAGCAGTCTTGTTGTGTCCAACTTGGTGATAGCAAACTACTGCATACTTCAATAAAGACTGCCACGTCAATTTTGATGTGTGCAGAGCTCTTCTACTTCTCTTTGTTCTCAAAGAATTTTGTACTGTAGGCTGTTCTACTGAATTTCAGGGTCGCAGCAGCAAGGGCGAGGTGGCCGAGTGTGGGGAATGCAGGCATAGGCAAGATGATGTGCTGCGGTTACCAGCTACACACCTATCACTGCCTCCAGTCAGATTTGGGCGACTGGCGTTTTGAAAAAATATACAAAAGATCATGCTGGGGCACGCGATGACACCTCACAGACTGACACCAAGTAAAACCTAGATCAGATGGCAAGGAGATATAACGGTAAAGAAATAGTGGAAGAGAAATGAAAGAACCCATTTAAAGATAGGTTGTTTTATGAAAAATATCAAGATTATGTATCCTTGCGGTTGTATTGCTACAACCGAAGTTCATTTATTCATGCCCTACTTCTATCGATCTTGCATACATGTCTGAAAACACACATGCTTGCAGTATTTTTCATTGGATTTCCTTTCTCAATCAAATCAGATGGTTCTATTTATCAGCCTATCTGACTTGCTCCTACGGAAAAGGTTGAAGGGATTGAAAAAATCAGTCATTCACAACCACCGATGAAGGATTTGCTGAAAAGTTAAGGATTAGTAGTTCTTTTTTGAAATCAATTTTCAAATAATGGATTTGGTATTATATATATGCGAGGAAGGTAATAAAAAATAGAAGACACTAATAATACAAAAAAATTAGTTGGTTTCAACGTTGCTATGGTTCCCTTTTAAACGGTGAGGCCCTCTCTACTTTCTTTCGCACTACCTATCCATTATAGAGTAAACAGATCACAATTAAGAGTTATACAGACATTGATGTTATTTAATTATGAAAGTTGGCTAAGTATCCGAGTATCTTTTGTATATCTCAATTTTTTTTATATAAACCACATTTTTATGATAAAAATCAAAATTCACTTGTGCTTCATCCCTCCATTGATGATGCTATCTATTTTATCTTTGTTGTTCCATGGCAACGCACGAGCATTCGACTAGTACGAATAATGTGACAATTTACAAAAATACATATTTTCATGGCATATCACACATGTTTCTCTAGTCAGATTGGAGATATTAAAACACGGGCCTGACTCGTACTCCCGTCCGGAGGTAGTAATCTGTACCGTATGATTTTATTTGTGATTATTATCTGCAGCTTGCACAACCTTTGTGCATAAGTACCATACTCTGTAATGCTATTTACTGTAATGTTTGGTTTGCTGGTTGCCATATACAGTGCAATCAGATAACTTGTCATCTGAACTTTCATGGCGTTGGAGACAAAGGCTAAAGTACTCAAATTTTGGGTTGTAAGTTTAAGGATGTAACTTAAATGATGTAAAAAATGACTAGCTCCACTTGGGAGACAGCGCCGGAACTATTCATTGACGTCCAGGTCCATATGGAAGGAAACATGTCGATCTGGATGATTTCAGTGGTAGAATCTGCTAGTTTCTTTTCTTTATCCTTTTCTTTTTAGGACAATGAACCAATACAATTAGATCTTTTTTCATCAACTCGAGAAATAGACAAGTGCTAGGAACATCACGGCCTCTGTCCAAAATATTAGGCCAAAGTTCAACTTTATGGATTACAAATTGTTAGTGAAATTGTTGGTCAAAGTAAAACGTTGGCTTTACGTCATGCCTTAGATTTTGGGACGAATCGAGTATCTTTCAGCACTTAAAAGTGTTTGGTTCCAATTAGTATCACAAGATGACAATAAACGACATGTTGCCACGTTCACATGGACTGGTGGACCACTGATATATAGTCGTTTGCGGTGTAAATTAGAAAATGATCCTAGGCATGGGTTAACAAATTACCAGTTTTGGCGGACCGGAGGGATGGCACGCGACGCCCTCCATGTGATCGCATTTGTACTTCCATTGTCGCTGCGATATTTCGCACTGTTGTCGACAATATCCTCTAGCCGCGCGTTCATGGACTTGATCTGTCGGGAGAGGATGTACCGGACGCGGATCTGTGTGCCGAAGTTAGAGAAGAACATGGCGGCCGCCTGACGCCAGTTGTGACCGAAGCGGGAGAGGTCGGCCTGCAGGAAGAAATTGTCGATGGCGTCCTCGGCTACAAAGGCGACCTCGCGCACCTGGTATGCGAGCACACGGATTTGCTGGTTGCTGTCTGACCTGCTGCGGAGGTCAGTCTCGTGCACTAGCGCATGCAGCCACATGAGCTTGTCGCGGAGGCGATCAATCTCATTGCCCACGGCAGCTAGGGCCTTCCCCTCTGTCACTGCTACCGCCTGCAGCTTGCTCAGCAGCGGACCAACAATGGCATCTGCCATCTCTCTTTCGCTCTCTCTCTAATGCCACTAGAGGCTATGACAACCCTCGGGCCTCGGCTATGATTTTCTTTTGCTTAGCTAGAGGTGAACTTGAACCACAGCCCGAACAGTCACTTTTATAGGGAAAAATTGAAGCAAAGGCACATCTCTTGCTTAGCAGTTCATTTATTGTACCCTCCTTTAGTCCTTTCTATGGCACACTTGGACATATATTTTTTTTTCCAAAATTTACGGGTCAGACCTCATCCCAAAATGCACATCTAATATTTAAATTTCTACATTACCGGATCTCAAGGATTGCATTTGGCACCAACTAGTTGTCTTAGCTAATTTATATATGTTCATTCAAAGAAGACTTGCAAGCTAGTACAAGAGTAAAGTCATTTTTGTTAACGGGGCAGTAGTTGCACTAACGACTAAGTTAATTGCCAGTTCGCTGGATCTGCACCGCGCCACCAGAACCGCGGTGCATGTGATTAGACCGATAAGAATGGGGTGCACGCTTAGTCACTGGCAGGCCCACCGGCATAAACAACTGAAAACACACTCGCTCACTGTTCATATTAGTAGATGTTTTGAGCTGAGTTGCTGCTATATTATCGAGCTTGATCCGAGTGTATTGGTGAATTGTATGCATCATCAAAGTAGACTTTGTTGAGTTTAGACACTTGAGAGCTGATCATATCCAGCTGGATATGACTGTGATGGCAAATACTAAAATTAAGCCACCATGTGCATCATCAAAGTAGACTTTGTTTTGCGTGACGCAATCTCGGTCTACATACATGAAGTAGCTATAAGAAGTCTTGACTTCGATCAGGGTCCTAATATGAAACTAATGTATTTGATCATCAGATTGATCGAGTCTATGTACACGTTAACCGTATGTTAACCAATTCACAAATTAGCTAAATCATGTATGTATTTACAACTAAAAGTTAACTAAGTAACAACTGAGTACTCTGCTACTTTGAATGAATTTGAGCTACGTACCTTTGCTATTAATTTGGTAACAGATTACTGCAATGGAAATGAAACTACCACATCAAACGGAACCAAGCTGAAGGATAGGAGTTTTTATGTACAGCCCACTAAACAGTAGCCTAGCAGGTACTCCCTCCGTCCCATAATGTAAGACGTTTTTTTGACACTACACTAGTGTCAAAAAACGTCATATATTATGGGACGGAGGGAGTAATTAGTAACCACCGACGGGGGAGAGAAAATTACAAGCCTTTGTTTGAAAAACAACCATTGCAGACCATGTGTTGGCATGAGCTCTCCATCAACTGGCCGAACAATTATTAACTGTTAAACAAGACCTAGTCCTGAGAAGACTTTGGGGTGGATCCAAGTCTTACTAGTAATTCATTTAGGTCTAAACGTGATACACACAACTTGGCTAGGCTAGCTTAACAGACTTGACGAAACGATCGAGGTCCCGATTAAAACTCACTGCACATGCAACAAAACATCTCGATTATTGGACGGTGTCACATGGGGTTGGTTTGTCTCACCGATTGAGATTATTTGGCATTTTCACTTCTCCATGACAAAGGCTCATCTTCCTTGTCTCTCAAGGAAAGATCTTGATTATAGTGATAGATACAAAACACTAATGCCGCTGGTTGGCACTAGTTAACTAGTTGCTACGAATTTGTCCAAGTTGTAACAATCTCGATCTCGATCGCATCCAAAGCAATCCATTCTAATTTCAGAATATGGACATATATATATATTTGATAGAAAAATTTCCGACACCTAAAATACATATAGCTTAAGAGAATGGAGAGCGGTGGATAATTATTTTGCATGTTAGTGGTTGCATGCGTCTTGAGATGCACCGGGTGGTAAAATAGTACTATACTTCATCTATTTATCTATAACTAATAACTAATAACTAACTAATCATAAAGGGGCTATTGCTTCTGGTGGTACGTCATCGAAATTGCCTTCAAAGTTGCAAAATATTACCCACCGATGCCAGCTATAAATGATTAAAAGAACGTTTCACACAAGGGAATCCCCGTCTGGGCCGGCCCATGCTGTAGGAGCCTTCTATATTGCGAGCTGTGCGTTGTGAGAAGAAACAACGCGCCATTTGAGCTGGTCCTTATCCGGGCCGCCTATTTTTCAAATTTCATTTTTTCGGTTTTTTTGTTTTTCCTCTTCGCCTTTTCTACTTAAACTAATTTGGGACTTCAAAAAATATCCGGAAAATTCTAGCAAATGCAGATTTTGAAATAAAATATTTAATATTTCAAAAATATTTGTGGATTCAAAAAATGCTTGCAATTTTTAAAAAATGTTTGAAATTTTGAAAACAAATGTTCAGAAATAAAAAAATGTTGATGATTTTTTAAAGAAGTTTGTGTATTAAAAAATGTTAATGAAATTGAATGGCAATTTTAGTGTTTTGACCATGGCAATTCCAGTACTTTGACCATGGCAATTTTAGAGCATGGCAATTTTAGTGTTTTGACCATGGCAATTCCAGTACTTTGACCATGAAAATTATTTTTTATACGAACCATGGCAATTTTAAGTGCATGTATCATGGCAATTTTAGTTTATGGTTCATGGCAAGTCTAGTTTCTTAATTCTTTGTTTTATAATATGTAAAAAATTACTTTTAAATGTAGAAGAAAATAGCTAACATATCATGGCAACTTCAGTGTAAACACCATGGCAATTCATGTGCAATAGACATGATAACTTTTAACCCCGCAAAAAAGTCATCGAAACATATTGATATGAGATCTAGTTTTGGAGATCTCGTCATGATGGATTTAATGGTGAAAACGGATCTTCAATCAAAATTTTCATTTAAGAGATACAACATTTGAGAAACTGAAAATCAAAAAAAAAATTCTCACATGCATGCATGCGGTCACATGACACAGTCTGTGTGTTATAAGGCGTGTGAGCGGATGTCACTCCCACCACATGTGTGAGTGTTATCAGCGTGCAAAACCTACCCACAACGATCCCCACAAAAACTGTAGGAAAACAGCTGTCAAGTTGTGGTAAATTCTAATCACCCATGTACAGTAAAAAAATCAAAATTATGTAAAAAGTTAAACTCTACACCCTTTAGTTTCTTAGATTAGTATATGTTGCTAGCCAGTTTTCATCAACCAACAATAGGATAGTTGGGGCACCGCTAGGGTCACCTTTGTTAACCTTAATTAGTGAGAGAGTCTCTCACTGTGCCTTTTTCAATTAAATGAATAAATGGTTGTATATCATATGCTTACAACCCTAGACACTTTGCGTCTAGAGCAAAGTAAGAAAAAGATTGAAAAGAGATTACAAAAGTGGAAATGCAAGGTTTGTGCTTCTCCTTGACCCTATAGGTAAGGAGAGGGAGAACCCAGGAGGAGGAAATTCTCTCCTTCCACTATGGAAGGAGGTAAGGATTCCCTCCTAGTAGGAGTCGTCCTAGAGGCCTGCCATGCCCTATGGTGCCTCTTGTGGGCCCTATGGGGACCACTAGGAGTTGTCATCTCATAACGGCGCTTCACAATTTTCTATCACAAATAAAATCCTGAATTATTTGGATGTCTATGGTACCCATTCCGAGACCACCGAAAACATTCCATATTTAGACCCGAACTTTCCGAAATCATGTTATACCTTTCCATAATAGCTAGAACCCGGAAAGTAGTGGCTACTCTTGGGTGTAGTACACCCGAGTTAGCAAAAAAATTGAAAAAATGTGATCAAACATTGTCCAAAAAATATAAATTTTGGGACCTGCAACATTATCAGATGTGTGAGGTTCTTGCAAAATTTCATCTAAAAATAGCATATGAGGAGCTCTCACAAAAAATAACAAAATCACTACTCAAACAGTGCACAAAACTTTCAGCAGTGATTTTGTTTTTTTCGTGAGAGCTCCTTGGATGTTATTTTTTGATGAAACTTGGCAAGAATTTCAAACATACGATAAACTTTGATGTAGCAAAATTTCAGATTTTTTGGATTTTGCTTGATAAACTTTTTTCAAAATTTTGCTAACTCGGGTGTAGTACACCCGAGAGTAGAAAATCCAATCTCCTTCCGCAACCATCTGAAACACTTACAGAACTATACGTAACTCTTTCGGTGCTCTTTTAACTCATTTCTCATTTCTCCAATAATCAGGACTAGAAACCGTTAAGCGTGTGACCGTACAAGTTTGGAAATAAGTGGACATGTCTTGGAACACCTTCTGGACAATAGTTAACAGCGGGATCTGGACACCCTTATTAACTCCCGCATATTCACAAAGTTCTCGAGTTAACCATTTTTTATGAATACCATTCCCTTCGCTTCGCGGTACGTTTACAAACCTCGAGGTGAGCTAATCGATATCCCCGTGATAAACTCCTTGATCACTATAGCGGTTATCCTCGTTACTAGTTTTGTTCTCTTTACTCGTATTCATGTTCCGTATCCCGTGATCATAATCACACGTGTCTGGCCAGACGATAATGACACCCTAACACAGAGTGGTCCCAGAGAGTATCTCTCTATCATGAGAGGTGCAAACCTACTATTGATATCGAGATACACATTTCCGGTATACCTGTAAGTTACTTCTATTTAAGTCCAGTTACAAAAGTGACAATCGGTAACCCCAAAGTAACCATTTGGTATGTTGATATACAATATTCTCATGGGCTAAGGAACTATGCAACCATGAACAAGCTATATGAAATACCTATAACATAACAACGAAGACATCTTTCAATAATTCATAAGTTGGGTCTATCCAACTCCGTTGTTAGCATGACAACAATGTTCTCATATATTGATAGGATACTCACAATGCTCATGATTAGGAAAACAAGATCATCATCAATACATGAGATTGTCTTAGAGGCATGATGAGGGATGAATTGGTGTTTACATTTCCACAAATGTATTCAGGTTTTCCATTGAATCTCATATTCAAGAACCAACACACTTGTACAACAGAAATATAAACTTAATAATGAACATGGAAATGACATAATAACATTTTTATTGGCTCTAGGGCAGATTTCCATCAGTTACAAATTTATGCAAAAATAGTTGTTTCTTCAATCATAATCATTACAATTGTATAACAATTACAAATTTAGCCTTAAAGATAGTCATATATTATAACATCGCAACACAACTAGTTCCCCTGATACAAAAAGATTAGGAGCAGTTTTTATGTGCGCTTCCGACCATAGCTCATAATAATTACAATTGTATAGCAATTACAAATTTGGCCTTAAAGATAGACATATATTATAACATCGCAACACAACTAGTTTCCCTAACACAAAAAGATTAGGAGCATTTTTGATGTGCGCTTCCGGCCATAGCTTGGAGCAATCTTGGTACCGGGGGCATTGTGATCTCAACCAGGCCTTCGAGAAATTGAACTACCTGTCCCATTGTTGGCCGATCAAGCTCATCATCCTGGATGCACCAACATGCAACCTTGCAAGCCAGTTCAACCTCATCCAATTTGATGTCGCCATCTAGCTTGTGATCTACCAAACCCTTGATGTCTCCTTTGAGAAGCTTATGTGAGGCATACACAGGGAAATAAACATCAACATTGCCACCACTAGGACATGATGCACATGAGTTCCTCCTTCCAGATATTATTTCCAGCAACACCATCCCGTAGCTATAAACATCGACTTTTGGTGTAATAGGAACACCGCTTATCCATTCAGGCGCAAGGTACCCTGTAGTTCCTCTCATTGTTGTCAATACTCGGCTATAATCCCTTCCTATAAGTTTTGCCATTCCAAAGTCTGCAATTTTTGGAAGGAGTGAAGAATCAAGAAGTATGTTTTCTGGCTTGATATCACAGTGTATGATGCAGTCTCGGCAGCTGTCATGCAAGTAGGCCAACCCTCTTGCAACTCCTAGGCCTATCTGATATCTAGCAGTCCAATTCAACATGGTAGAATTGCTTCGAAATAGATGGACATCAAGAGAGTGATTTGACATGTATTCATAAACAAGCAACCTCTTGGAACCATCACAACAGAAACCAACAAGCTTAACCAAATTGATGTGTTGAACAGCTCCGATTGTGCTCACTTCGGCTTTGAATTGCTTCTCTCCTTGATAAGCACCATCGAGCATCTTCACTGCTACGGCATTGGAGCCCTTTATAAACCCCTTGAATACAGAACCAAAACCGCCTACCCCCAACTTATCTGTGAATTTGTTTGTTGCCCGTTGTAGATCATTGTATCCGAATGCAATGATTCCAGTACAAACTTGAGAATCACTCAGTATCTGACCAGAGTTCTTCTTTTTGTTTCTCTGGATCATTATTAAGAGGATAAGTGCAAATAGGCCTAAAACAAAAACGCCTGTACCAGTGACAATTCCAATAACAATTCCTCTTCTGTTGTTTTTCAAACTTTGTACATCTTTAGCAGAAAGACGGAGGTAAAGAGTTTCTCCGTTAGAATTGGCAGTGCCACTACATGGTAGTGCTCTTATGTTGAGCAATTTATTATGCCACATAGAACATCCATTGTCGCCAAAGGAGTAGGCTGTGCAAGAGCAATTATTCAGGCAAACTTGTGCGCACTCACTTGCACTTGCAGCAGCATCTACTTCTGGGGCATCCTTGGGCAACTTAACACATGGCATAGAATAGAACTTGTCTGTGGTATGCGTTGTGCCTCTATTGCTAATGCAGTCTAACTTAGTCTTCCTCGAGCACCCACCTGCTCGATCTTCTAGGTCCCAGTCCTTGGGGGATGTTATTGTGAAGCCCTCCATACAATTGCATTGTGGAAAATTATTATCATTGCAGATTGTGAAAGGCCCACAAATTGCATCAACGTCACACTGATCTCTTGGTTGGGCATTGATCATTACCCAATCTGGTGTGCCCTTCATCCAAATGAATGTCTTCATTTGACCCGAGATGTCAATTACATGACGAGTAAGCATATTTGGATCCATATATTGAGGCACTAATTTATATGTCCAGTACTTCTCTTTGTCACTGTGGACAAATTTTGCCCTAATAGAGTGGCGGGCAGCCATCTCTGGAATTCCAGAAAAATATTTGCCGTTCCATGCACCGCTGGACCAATAGGGTATGGATGAGTTGAGTGCTACAAGCACTATCTGGTCAACAGCGGCCGGGTCTACCTCATAATAATAGACACCGGTAGCTGGGTCAGTCAAGCTTTTCCAAGAAACAAAACGGCGATTCAGGCCGGTGGCCTTATCCCATCCATGCTTGGCCCCAGGAAAAAATGTATCCGTGGGGTGATCAAAGCTTTGCCATAGAAACTCTGACAAGTTTGAAGAGTCTGTGAGTACGAGATTTCCAGTACTCAGCAGCCTAGCAGTGGTGCTATTTCTGGAGATGTTTGCTTGTGTGGACCAGATTATGGACATGGTGGACCGGTTTAAGATGACAAGGTTGCCATCGTGGGAAATGGTGAGCTCAACTGAGGTCGTGTTCTTGACTGGGTTATCCCTATTTCCAACCCATGCTGGAGTGAATTTAGGGACTGCGTTGAACCATATGCCAAGGTACCAGTTGGTGGTGCCTTCGGTCTGGAAGAAGCCGAGCGCGTACCTGCCATTGCCGGAGATGAGCTTGTCGTTGACGGCAAGTGATTGGCCGGCCAAGATGGTGTCCGTCGCTGCAGAGTTTGCTGGGGTGTGGATGCAGGAGAGCAGGGTGAAAACAATTAGGAAGGGCGGCATGGTGAACGGTGGTGAGGGCGCGCAGACTACTGCAGAATCGTGTTGTGCAGAGGCTGCAAATATAGGCTGGTGCTCAGCTCGGTCATAGCGACAAGCACTGGTGAGTCTTTTTGTGTGTGCGTGTGCGTGTGACTAAGTAAGCACTTCTGTTCAATCACAAAAAAAGAAGAAAATAATAGTATAAGTAAGCACTGTGAGTCAAGCACAACGTCCAAACTAGCACGTGGTGTTGAGAGCTTTTCCAGTGGCGATGGTGAAATGCGTCTTGCAGAGCACCAGACACATGCAGGTTGTGTTCTGGACTGATGTATTGCGTATTCTAGTTGAGCACCAGAGCGCCAGAGCACGGCAGGCGACCAATGTGTTGTAGTTTTGCTCTGGACTGGGTATGCGTGGTGGAAATTGCAGAGTGTGGAGGAAGAAGAACGCCATGGGCGTGAGCGCCAGACACCCGGTTCACCGGTCGAAATCTCGTCGTCACTGCCCACGACAGACCGGCCTGAAGAGGTCTTTGCCCACGACAGACCGTCCAGAAGAAAATTGCGCATGGCTTCGTCATTTACTCTTGTGTTCCACTTACATTTTCAGAGTAAAACTTATTGTTATATCGAATATCCAATTCTGAGCCCAGGCTCATCTGCACCAGATGCACAGTAAATTTAAAAAAACTAGAAAAATTCAAAAAAAATATTTTTTTTGCATGGAAGATATTTAAATGCGTGAGGTACGTGCCAAATTTCAAAGCATTTGGTCTTCTGAGTAGCTCTCATAAACAAAACAAAATTGGGTCAAAATAGTGCACAAACAGTAAACTTTTTGATAGATCCGAAATTTTTCTTTTTCGCTGAGAGCTACTTGGACATTCAAATGTTCTGAAATTTGGCACGTGCATCACGCACTCAGGCATCTTTCTCCACAAAAAAATCAGAAATTTTTAAATTTATTTAGTATTTTTAATGATGTTTTTGTTCACTCCGGGCTCATTTGAGCATGGGAGCCAATACTCCTCACTCATTGTTATACAGTAGCTTTATTATTTTCTTTACAGATTAAACAATATGAGAGATCCTCGGCTCCCCACCACCTCCCTCCTCCCCAGCCGCCGCCAGGCAAGGCCCGCGCGGTGCCGGCGGCGGTGGGATTTCTCTCTGGCGGCGGGCGGCTCCTCGGCGCTCTGGATCTGCATGTGGCGGCGGCTGCATGGGGAAAGCTCCTCGGTTCATGGCTGCACGGGGCAACGATGCAGCTCCACTTCCTGCATGGGCGTCCTGCTGTGGCGACTTGATGGTCGGGCGGCACAGCTCTCCCGTCACGGCAAGACTGCCCTCTGCTGCTGGATGGGCGCCTTCGTGCGACGCCGGCTTGTCTCTTCTTGTGGCTTGGCTCCGGCTTGCTGCAGGGCATGGAGGCAACGAGGTCGCGGGCTCCAGCGACTCACCGACCCGGCGTGGTTGCTCAATTCAGATCTGGACGGCTTGGTGGTGGTGATCCAGATTCGATCGGTCGAGTGGGGTGACTGCAGACTGTGTTGCAGTACCTCTTGCGGCTCCATGGCAACGGTGGTCACCAAGGGATCTTCGGGAGGGTTAATCTCTCTATGTCCAATGGTTGACTTCGGTGGTGAGATCTCCGGGAGGGTTAATCTCTCTATGTCCAATGGTTGTGCAGTGGCGGCGTTCATCGTATGTAGCTGCTGGGATTACGGAAAAGTGGTGGCGACAACAGTTGAGTGACTTCGAAGGTGGTGCTGTGAGCACCCGGTCGCGAGATCCGGGGTGAAAGCCTAGGTTGACCTGAGTTGGTTATACCTGGCAATGGCGATGTTTTTTTTACGTCGTTACCTTGTTGAAGGCATTGCTCGAATATGCTTCCACTGATTCTTCAGGGTGAAAACCTAGATTCAGGCCTTGGTGGTTGGATCCGGTGACGGCAACACTTGAGTGTTACTCCCTTCTCGAAGGCGTTACTGTTGAAGAACCTTGTCGTCTGTATGATGTCATGAGATGGTTGGTGCGGATATGGTCGTTGATATAGTTTGCCGATCGTGGATCTGGTCGCTTCGGGTTTTTCTTTTACTCGCCTACACATAGCTTTGGTCTTATATGACTTTGCTATCTCGCGTGTTTTTTGGTGTGCGTGTGTTGGTGTTGGCTGTGTGCATCCTAGTTATGCAGAGGCCGGGTGTGTGTTCTTTGGGTTTGTATCCTCTTGATGCTCCTCTTTGAGCTAATAAAATTCACCCTTTATCGAAAAAAAGGAAATTATAAGTGGATGCTATCTATCTATCTATATCTATATCTATCTATCTATCTATACCTATACTAATTACAGACTCCCAAAAAATTACCACGTTAATTAGAATTTACGAGCCGTTAATCTGATGGGACTGAATTATTACGATGTATATCAACCTGTAAACTCCAAAGCCGAAAAAACACTCGAAAGGCCCAAAATCCTTCTTGGCAGCAAAGAAAATGCAAGAAGAAAAAAAAACTAACTTAATCTAGAGGGGAGCCAGTTATTACGGTTGAGATCTTTCTAGAGGTGTAGAAAGGAGCCGGCAGCGACATAGTCGATCGCCATCCCCAGCAAGCAGAAGGCGAATTGTATGGCCCATGAGGCCATGAGGCGTGGAGCTTGCCAGCATGCATGTATGACACGGCTTCTACGAGGCTAGGAAGTTGCCTCCCAGTGCCATGTTGGCGCTGCCTCCTCGCAGCGCCGCTCTTCTTCTTCCTTGCGCTCTCTTCTTCTCATGGTTTTGCCTCACACAAGAACTCATCTGGGGAAAGAAGACAACACAGACACACACACACACACACTTCACCAAGGAGCAGCACAAGAGCTTTGCCGAGAGCATCCTCTCCTTGGTGAACACGCAGTGCTACATTTTTCTACAGGCTCTCACCGCCTTCTTTCATTGACTCAAAGTAGAATATATATACAAGGACCAGGCACTCACGCCCATGCATGTACTCACACACAACTTGGGCACCACTACCTGCCAGCTCTCACGCCACGCCCCACATTACTTGCTCCACGACTAACTACATGCGCTAACCACGGCCTAAACTCTATCCATCCATATGGCTCGGCCAGCACATGTGACCAATCCCAACTACATGCATGCATGAACTACTTACTCAACATTCTCTCGGCTAGGACTCAACAAACTCACGCATGCACAGCTACTCCAACAAACTGAGCGATCTGCCGGTTCACCCGACCCAACTTGATGCACTCCGTCACACTCCAGTCTTAAGTCGCGTCTTGCCACTTCTCGGGACCTTGCCGTATCTCACAGCACCATCAGTATCTCGCCGTGCTCGCCGCATCACACGGCAGCCCGGCATCTCGTCTTCTTGGCGCACAACCAAAGCTGCACTGGCCTACATCACCCTTTTACCATCTAAACTACATGCACATAATAAAACTAAATATGCGGATACATGAATCAAGATTAAACCTAACATGCCATGCGTCCTCTTTCCTGTCCTGCAGGCTCTCTTCCTCCTCCTCCTCCTCCAGTCTTTCACGATCCCAGTCAGTCTCCCCTTTGGCAGCATGGAGTTTTCACCCGGCAGGCTGCACCATGTCATTCCCCGTCTGTGAGATAAGCTTGCGTAAGTGCTTCGCAGCATCGAATCAGCAGTAGTATTTCACGTTCTTAGGTTCAATGGTGTGGCTTGGTTTACGTATGTGTACTGCTTTGACAATGATGACTACAACCAATTGGCCGTATGATCAGCTGCCTGCTCTGTTACAATGAGAAAAAGGCATGAGAGGAGTCCATGCAATTGAAGAAAACATCAAATAGGAAATTTGGGAAAAGCATATATGGAAGTTATTTCCATATCTACTCTTCTGCGCTCCCCTTTTCTCAAAGAAAAAAAAACTTTTTTCACTCCGTCTGTGAAATGTCCGTGGGCCATGATGTGGTGTGTTTGTACAACAACGAACAATTTGGCTTTGCTGCATGTCTTGATTAAATTAGCTATTTTTCTATTGAATTAACAATGTTTTAGATGATATGTAGATTAGTTATTTTTCTGGTCTGTTTGTACAACAACGAACACATGCATGTCAGATTTTGATCCATTACTAATGCTCTATGTTTTCAAGGATTTGAATTTGCGAGTATTCGTGATGCCTTCCAAAGGTTCAGTGATTAGCACAATATCACAAGCCTAGGTGTTGCTTCATTTCTATATGTCCATCAGGGGGCGTGTCACGGGACAATGGCACAACAATCAAGGTTTCTTACGGCAGGTGTGCAACATTATCAAAGGACTTAGGTTTGTTCATAAATGTAACGAAATCAGATCCTTTCCCATATGAAAACTGCGGTGTGTTGTTCTACAGTCTGCCCATTTCCCCAAGTGCATGATCTACATGATTCAGATGTGTGCATGACGATACCTTAGTCAACATATTTTAAGCTTCTTCAGGCTTTAATATAGTTGTTTGTCCAAAAACGTCTTCACGAAATATATAAGTGGCCTTGCATCTTACGATAAATAAAAATAGTCTTTCAAATATATTAGCTTCGGTAAAATTGGAATTTCCATTCGGACTAGAAAAAATCTTACATAGATTATTACTTGCACCCTTGGTCTGATGTGTGATCATATATTTTTAAGCTATGGCCTTTTGTTGTCCAATCATTGGCTCCAATTTTCCCAAACAATCATGGACTCACCAGTACGTGCCTCATAATTACTTTTTCCACACAATAGGATTAGATGTTCCTGATTATAATCTATTCAGTGAAGTTGATTGTCTAATCTTTTATATGTTTAGTTGTTCTACAATGCTCCCCCCTCCCCAGTCGTCAAAATAATCTTTGATACAGAGAGATGTATTTTTGAAGATCAAAGAAAGGTATATTTGTTGATAAAGAAAAACTTTCTAGCCTATCTTCTGATATGCATGTGTCGTTGCCTCTTCTGTCCTGCAAATTATGCTCCGACACTAGAATGAAAGGTAATCCTTTTTCTGTT